ATATAACAATTAGAATCTTTAAAAATGAAAAATATGCTCTATAAAATTGGAGGTAATAATTCCTCAAAGAAGCAAATAGCACACTTAAGATTTACAAGAGTAGCTAGGCTGTGGAAAGGGGTAGGAAAGAGAAAGAGGGAGAGAAGAAAAGGGAGAGGAAGAGGGGGAGGAGGAGAAGAAGAGAGAGGAGCAGGGAGAAGGGAGAGAGCTAGAAGGAGTAGAAACAAGAAGGAAACCATGCAAAGAAGAGGGATGTGGTAAAAGTAGGGGGATCCTGAAAGGGCTCCTGACTAAGGACAAGGGGAGAAAGGAAAGCATTCTCTCCTGTCTGTCTAATGTATACTCTCAGAGAATGCCGGCCCCAGACTCTGCCCCTTTCTGGGGTCAGATAGTTGTCCACTGACTCACGTGTTCCAACCACTTAACCTTTGTTCTCTGCAGCTCCCGGTTAGGTTAGCTCAGTTTGCACCAGTGTCTCCTTTACCCAGGAGGATTTGTCAGGGAAGTGGGTTGAGTGATCCGCAGAGGCTACAAATATAATTCATTACTGAGGTTAGGAGAGTTTGAGCTGAATTAAAGAGGTGAATGGAGAGATGGAGAGGAAAACCAGAGTTTAAAAATTTTGGAACATATAAATAGAAACTGGTTATTTGGAGACAGAACCTAAGAAAGAAACATCCAAAAGTAGTTTCAACAAAGTTGTAGATAAGATGGACTTGAATATTTGTAGGAATTGGAAGACAGTGAGGAGAAAACTGAAAGAATACACATCTAATTTTTAACTTACTGTCCTACGACTAGTGAAGGCCAGTACTTACTGCATCTTGATTTGTAGGTTAATCCTTTATTGTCATAATTCTTGCCCTGCTGTGGACATATAGATGGAAAGAAGGAATAGCTGAGAGTAGAAACTCTTTCTTAAAGGCGAAGTAATCTGGTGGTGCAGTAGTTAAGCACTCCGCTGCTAAGTGAAAGGTCAGTGGTTCGAACCCACCAGCTGCTCCATGGGAGAAAGATGTGGCAGTCTGCTTCTGTAAAGATTACGACCTTGGAAACCCTATGGGCAGTTCTGCTCTGTCCTGTAGGGTCGCTCTGAGTTGGAATGGGCTCAGTGGCAACGGGTTTTGTCTTAAAGGGGAGGTAGTCCGGTGTAGCATAGAAAAATGATCGTTTTACTCTCAGTCCTTGTCTCATTTTGTTTTAACTTTAAATTTCTTTGTGAAATTAGAAGTCATATAATGTGCATGAAGAATTAGTTAGCTGTACTTGTTTTGAGGGTTAAGAACTTTTATGGTGTTTTTAGAAATGTGTGGCTTATTTTTCTGTCTTTCTGCCAAACAGCTTATGTGTGAGTTGGGGAATGACGTTATAAATCGAGTTTATGAAGCTAAAGTGGAAAAAATGGGGATAAAGAAACCACAACCAGGACAAAGGTACTATTCCAGTTTTCTTAACGTATTACCTTTTTTTTTTTTTCTAATCAGGAATATAGCTGTGATTTTATTTCATTATAATTGATACATTGAGATAGAAGAGTATCTAGAAATGATCCTTACTGCTTCTGTTCAAACGTGGATAACTCTTTCTCGGGTATGTTGATTAGGTAGTTATATTTTATGGTACAGATCATCAATTACAGCCTCCAGATGAGAGAAAATCTTAAAAATTAAGGCTCTACGTAGAAGTATAAATGCTCGTAGCAATTAAAGTGGAACTAAGTTTTGTTAGTAGCAGGCCTTTAAAAAGAGATAATCTGTTCATTAATGTCTCCAAGGATCAAGTTTGTACTACCTACAATGAATAATTTTACATTGTTTGACTTAGTTCAGCAAGTATTTGTTAATCACATACTTCGTTCATGATACTATGATGCTGAAGAATCAAAGAAGAAAAGGGTAACTTCTGGTAGAGAGTACTTGATTCCTGTGTTTGAAATTATACTTACAAACATATATATACAGGAAGTCCCTGGGTGACGAGCGTCCAACTTCTGGACAGCTCGTACTTGCCCTATAATATTACGTAAATTTGTCCTCACTTTGAAGCAATTGAACCAACCCCTGCTTGCAACAAAGTCTTCATCACAGTCACCTTCCCTGGCAGCCCATGCAGCTTTTACGTCATAGTAAGGCTGAATAAGGACCATATGCACCTATTCTGACTTTCCTGCAAATTCGACTTAAAGACTTAAACACATACTTAGGAACGGATCTCATTTGTTTTTTATATATATACTTATATATATATATATGTATATATACCAACTCATAGTGATCCCATAGGACAGAGTAGAAGATTTAAACACACACTTAGGAACAGATTTCATTCATTTTATGTATATATATACGTACATACCAACTCATAGTGATCCTATAGTAAAGAGTTTAACTGCCCCGTAGGGTTTCCAAGGCTATAAATCTTCACAGAAGCAGACTACCACATCTTTCTCCTGGGGAGTGGCTGGTTGATTCTAATCACTGACCTTTCGGTTAGCAGCCAAGTGCTTAACCACTGTGCCACCAAACCAAAACCATATATATATAAAGGAAGTGAATAAGAGTCAGTGCCTTCAGGGTACATACTTACATTTTGTTGGTTTTAGCCCTTACGATTCTTTCATTTTAGCACTGCAGTTTTATTTGCCATGAGCCTGTGTTGGGATTTTATGTTTGACTAAATCTTTCTGTAGAAACAATAGTATTTTAAAGTTGCTATCTAAGGTAACATCAGTTGAATCAGATTCTTGTATCTATTTGCTAAAGCATGGCTGTTCAAGTTATTTCAGAGCTTGAAATATGCTTCCATTTTAGCCAGAGGTCTAAATATTTTAAAAAGATATAAGTAAGAAAATGTATAGAACATATTTGGCATTTTATGATTCTATCATAAATGAAAAGTTTAAAATGTGACATAATCTCCCTTTAAATTAGAAATACTACAATGGTTTAAAGTAGTTGTCTTATGAAAACTTATGACTATTAATAATGGTATTTTAGTATTTGACATTATTACTTCTTGGAGTAAAAATGAAAGTCAAGTTAATTTCTAGGAATTTTTATAGTCTTTTTGGCAATGTTTTTCATTCTGTAAAAAGCATGAAGGGGTATATATAGAAAAGAATGAGCACAAGAATTAAGAGAATAAAAAAGTACCATGTTAATCCTTGTGATTTTTTAGTTATGTTATTATTTGTATTTTCTTTGAATGTGAAATCATAGTTGATTAAATATTTAGAAGCAAAACATGTTGCATAATTCACAAATTCAGTTTTAAATAATATTACATTTAGTGACTTTCTTTGAAAATATTCAGCATGTAATGATTCTTTTCCACATTAGTCATGCTAAAGGATTAAGCAGTATATCATGACATTTTTATGTATACCAGACAGGAGAAAGAGGCATATATCAGAGCAAAATATGTGGAGAGGAAATTTGTGGATACATATTCTATATCATCACCACCTCCTGAGCAGGAAAAAAAGACTGTCTCCAAAAGCTGCGAAGAAAAGAGGCTGAGCGTTTCTAAACCTGGGCCAGGTGACCAAGTCAGAGTAGCTGCCCAGAGTGCAGGTATTACAGCTTACTTGTTGTGTATATAAGTATTTGCTTAAGCCAAAACATCACTTGTTTTCTGAATTAATAGCCAGTGTAGTCTTTTAAATGCTGAAAACCTGTTTCCTTCTATATATTCTAAGGAAGTACTGAATTTCTACGTCTTTAGAACAGTCAAGTTTAAATAGTGCCACGATAATTCACATTTCTAGGTAATGTGTGTATTCTAAGGACTAATACAGCATAAAATGCAAGGGGAGATGGGAAGTAGAAATCTACCATGCCAAAGACCCCGAAGTATCTGATTAACCACCTATTTTCCTTCCTAGTTTTTCCTCCTCAATTTTCCCAGTAACGTTTTTTCCTGCCCTTTTCCCTTCTTACTGCCTGCTCTGTGCTTTGCTAACTTGCATGTCCCCAGTGGTTGCTGTTAATAGCGACGAGGCCAGGCGGGAGTCTCTGTTCTGTCCTGATGAGCTAGATTCACTCTTCTCCTACTTTGATACTTCTTCAAAACTGCGTAGTAGTAAGTACTACTCTTATGGAGCATTCCAAGTCTGTGCCAGTGGTCATTGTGTGGTGTGGCCATTTCTCTAGATGTTACTCATTGTCTCAGAATTATACACTTAAAGTCATCCAGTAAATTAAGCTTTTTACTACGCCTGACGTATTATGGGGTAATGAGGTATGTCACACCTCTAAAAATGTTTATTTTCAGGCTTTGCGATGATTCATATCTTGATAAGCAAAGTGTTCAAAAGGATTAAAATTGTATTAAACGTATTCTATTGGTGGTGGCCAAGTTTACACTGATGTGTAAGAGCTCATTTTAAAACCTTGTTGTTTGTGGGACATTATTTTCTAAATGATTTGAACTTTAATCACTAGCTGATTTTTTTCTTTAAAACAGTCAAAAGTAATGACAGTGGAATCCAACAAAGCTGTGATGATGGAAGAGAATCTTTACCCTCCATGGTGTCAGCCAATAGTTTATATGAGCCTGGTGAGTTTTGATGAAATTCAATGTTAGTTGATAGTGTTTGCTGAAAAACACATGCGGTAGATGCCTAGTCTTGATGAAATAGGTTCTAAAGGGAGTGGTTAGTCTTTCAGAAGTTATTAAAGGAGGAGTAATACCATTAAATGAGAAAGTCAGTATTTCTGTTCATATTTGGAAGTTCATTCCTAGTTGTCCATTCTTCCAAGCTTCATGATATGTGCTACAAGTGCCCTGCCAATAGCTAAGGAAAATTTTCATTCCACATGAAATTATCATCCTTCTTACTACTCTTTGTCTTTCCTTGTGGCTGTCTTTTCTTATCCTGAGAAAGGGAGCAACTGCTCCCTCTGTGTTAGGTTTCTCTTCTGACCCTTGCTTCATTCTTCTAGTCTCTCCATGATTTCGGTGATTGTGGTCTCGAAGAACACTTGGGGTAGTGAGCATTCTTCAGATTACTGGAACTGCTTGTACTGCAGTCTGTGATGGTATCAGACCATCTGAGGGGAGAAGTGAGGTTTGGTCTAGTTTTAAGTTCAGGCTTATAGGAGTATACACAATTTGAAACTAATACAGAATAATCTGCCCATTGAACACTGGCAAAACCACAAAGGCCTGGTACACCAGTTGATGTCTTTATAACAGAGACTAAAGGTTGGGGAATGATTGTGTTTGTTGTTGTTAGTTGCCGTTGACTCGATTTTGATTCATGACTGTCCCAAGTGTGCAGAGTAGAATTGCTCCAGAGAGTTTTCAAGGCTGTGACCTTTCGGAAGCGGATTGCCAGGCGTATCTTCCGAGACATCTCTGCGTGGGTTGGAACTGCCAACCTTTCCGCTGATAGTCAAGCGCTTAACCGTTTGTGCCACCCAGGAACGCCTGAGGAATGATTGATTAGTCTGTGAGATTTAAGATCTCCTGGTGAAAAACTCCCATAAGCTCCTTATGATAAATTAGTGATTTCTTATGTTACAACTTTCACATAATGATACATTTAAGAGCCCATTTTTTTTGACACTTCATACATATTTACTATATTGAATTGAATTGATGCATACTCTATAGCTTTATGAGCAATATTCAAAGAGGAAAAGAAAATGAAAACAAAGTTACAAATTAATATAATTGACTCCATCACTTGCAGCTGTTGTTGTAGTTAGTTACCATCGAGTTGTTTCCAATTCATGACAACCCTACATGTTACAGAGTAGAACTGCTCCACAGAGTTTTCAAGGCTGTGACATTTAGGAATCAGATCACCAGGCCTGTCTTCTGAGGCACCTCTGGAAGAGTTTGAACTGCCAACCTTTCAGCTACTAGTTGAGCGCATAACCATCTGCACCACCCAGGAACTCCTGTTCACTCGCAACTAGAATTTGCAAAAGATTACTCAAATGCTGAGGTGATGTTGAACAAATGACTAGGTTAAAAGTCTTTTTGGATGCGGTGAATGGTGAGCAAGAAAGTTGTGAGAGTTTTGATATAATGTATTATAAACAAAAACATTGGTGAAAAAATTTACTTTGTTTTGTACAAAAATTGGCATAGCATGAAGAAAGGAAAGGTGGCATTCAAAACATAGAAAAATGCTTACTATATACCGAACGCTTAATATACAGCTATGAATAAGACATGATTCTTGCCTTGAGTTGAATCTCGTGGAAAAGGCATATGTAAATAGATAATTATAATACAAATTGATGATTGCTAGGACAAAGAGGTGAAGTTACAAACTTGAAGAGAAAGAGATGATGTTAATCTTGGTCTTAAAGAATGGATATTTTCAAAACGGGGGACTTGGCTTCTTCCAGCATTGAAAATGGCACTTGAAAAGGCATGTGGCGTGGCATGCTAAACTAGGCTAACAGAGTCAGTTAAGCAAAGGAATGGAAAGATCAAATGTGCTTTTTTATTTGTTTTTAAGGTGACTAGATATTTGTGTGTGTAATGGTGTGGGGCGGGTGGGGAGGGAACAAAAAATACGTTGTGGTTAAACATTCCTAGATTCCTAAGCCACTTTCCTTGGGTTTAAATTCAGACTCTGCTACTCACCAGCTGTGTGACCACTTCTCTGTGCATCAGAGCCCTTGTCAATCAAATGAGTCCAGTAATAGTACCTACATTATAGTGTTGTTAGGACAAAATGGGAGCTCATATATCAAAAGCACTTAGAACACAGCCTATACTGTGTAAGTGTTAGCTTTGTCCTGATTACAGATGAATTTCTCGTGGACCTACTTGTATAGCCTTATTTTCTGCCAGTAAGTGGCCGATTTTGTGTTGTAGTTCACTGCCTTCACTTGAGGCAAGAGCTCATTTTTATTGGTGTATTTGTGCTTGCTTTTCAGAAGGAGAAAGGCAAGATTCTTCTGCATTTCTTGATTCTAAACATCTTAATCCAGGACTTCAGCTTTATAGGGCTTCATATGAAAAAAACCTTCCTAAAATGGCTGAGGCTTTGGCTCACGGTGCAGATGTGAACTGGGCTAATTCGGAGGAAAACAAAGCAACACCACTTATTCAGGCCGTATTAGGGGTATGAATTTGTACATTGAGGTTTTCAGTGATAGTAAAATATTTTTAAAAAAATCATAATTCATTCTCAGCATGGCTTTTTTATTATTGTTGTTATTTTGCTTTAAGAGAAGGGCTGGAAAATAGAAGAAGCCTCTGTGCAGCTAGTGGTGATTTCTGAGTGGCACATTTGATTATTTAAGCTCAATTTTTTTTTTTCTTAATGGAAGAGAATTCTGATAGTGAAAATAGTGTGTTTTGCTAGATCACAAATGACAAATTGAATTCCTGGTAGAAGTAGTTCTTGTGGGGTATTTTCTCTTATTGGAGAATAAAATAGAAAGACTATTTGAGTAGGTAAATAAAACTGTTTTTAAATAGAAATATATTGTTGTTTCTTGTTTGTTTTTTGTATATCATTATCTTCTTTTTTTTCCCCCCCTCAAAGGGTTCTTTGGTGACATGCGAGTTCCTCCTACAGAATGGTGCTAATGTGAACCAAAGAGATGTACAAGGACGGGGACCACTGCACCATGCCACTGTCCTAGGGCACACAGGGTAAACTACAGTGCTTAAATATTAATGTAGCTTTTATTTGGAAAAATTATTTTAAAATAAACGTTTTGCTTTTTCTCAAGTTAAAGCCATTAGGTAGAGTTTGTAAAGTGATGTTTTCCTATGACTTGTATTGTCATGATTGACTTTGAAATTTAAAAACATCTCATTCAGAAAAAAAGCTTATTAGGTAGGAAAATTGCAAAGCTTACTTTGAATGTAACTTGCCACTTAAATAGGTCAGTTTTAGTACTATCACCTCCTCTGTTACTAAGACTGTGGTGATTTTGTCAGACAACTTAAGTCACTGTATGTATGTGTTTATGTGTGTGCACATAAATTGTTTACATGTGAGAATTTTGTAACTATGGAAGTTTTAGTTTTTACACAGGGTAGGTAAAGTTTAAAATATTCTAAGCTAACTTCTTAGTTTGTGCTACTGACATTGTAGCTTCTGGAGCAATATTTAGACTCACAGAACAGTAAAGCCATGAAAAAGGACTTTCTATTGTAGGGTTGCTATGAGTCAGAACTGACTTGATGGCACCTAACAACAACAATTGGAAGGTAAAGATGAAGTCAAAATATTGGCCTTATTTGAAAAGTTTATGTTATAAGCAATTGTTTTTTAATAAAACATCAAGTTTGGTGTATTGTGTCTTGATTTTCATTTATCTAAATGTATTTTCTGATTTCCCTTTTGTTATCTTCTTTGATTCACTGATGATTTAGGAGTGTGCTTAATTTTCACATAATTGTGAATTTCCCAAAATTTTCTCTGTTACTGATTTCTAATTTCATTCCATTATAGTTAGAGAACATACTTTATATTATTTCTAGTTTTTTAAAAAATATATATAATTTACTGAGGTTTATTTTATGGCCTAGCAGATGGTCTATCCTGGAGAATGCTCCCTGTGCACTTGAGAAGAGTGCATAATCCTGTTTTTGGGTAGAGTCTTTTATAGATGTCTATTAAGTCTAGTTCACTTATAGTGTTGTTCAAGTCTTCTATTTCCTTGTTGATCTTCAGCCTAGTTCTGCCCGTCATTGAAAATGAGGTATTGAAGTCTTCAAGTGTTATTGTTTAAATTGTCTTATTTCTTCCTTCATTTCTGCCAATTTTTGCTTTATGTATTTTGGTGCTTTGTTATTGGGTGCATATATGTTTCTAATAGTTATGTCTTCCTGATGAGTTGGCTCTTTTATTATTATAAAATGTCTCTTATCTTTAGTAATGTTTTTTGTTTTAAAGTCTATTTTGTCTGATATTAGTACAACCATTTAGCTTTCCTGTGGTTGCTATTTACATGATATATCATTTTCCATCCTTTTACTTTCAGCCTATTTGTGGCTTTGAATCTAGAGTGTATCTTCTGCAGAAAACATATAGTTGGATCATGTTTTTTTAATCCAGTCTGACAACTTCTGCCTTTTGATTGGATTGTTTAATCTAGTGACATTTAATATTATTGATATAGTTCAATTTTTGTCTGTCATCTTTTTGTTTTCCATATGTTGGTATTTCTTATAAGGTGGTTCTGTTAGCAATGAATTTTTTCATTTTTTGTTTATCCGAGTAGGTATTTCGCCTTCATTTTTTTTAATTTTTTATTACTGTGCTGTAAGTGAAAGTTTACAATTCAAATTAGTCTCTCCTACAAAAATTTATACATATATTGTTACGTGACCCTAGTTGCTCTCCCTATACTGTGACAGCACACACCTCCTTTCCACCCTGGATTTCCCATGTCCATTCAACCAGCTTCTGACCCTCTCTGCCTTCTCATCTCCCCTCTGGACAGAAGCTGCCCATTTAGTCTCATGTGTCTACCTGAGCTAAGCACACTGTTCATGAGTATCATTTTATGTCCCATTGTCCAGTCTAATCTTTTTCTGAAGAGTTGGCCTCAGGAATGTTTTTAGTTTTGGGCTGAGAGTCCAGGGGCCATGTCTTCCAGGGTCAAACCATTAAGTCTCGTCTTTTTACTAGAATTTGAGTTCTGCACCCGACTTTTCTCCTGCTCCATCAGGGACTCTCTGTTGTGTTTCCTGTCAGGGCTGCCTTCATTTTTGAACGATAGCTTTGCTGAATATAGGAATCTTGTTTGGTTTTTTTGTTTCCTTTGAGAACTTTGAATATATTATCCCATTACCTTCTGGCCTCCATTGTTTCTGCTGAGAAGTTAGCTATTAATCTTTTTTGGGATTCTTTTGTAAGTGACAAGTTGGTTTTCTCTTACTGCTTTCAAGATTTTTTCCTTGTCTTTGACTTTCAGCATTTTTACAGTGATGTATCTGTGTATGTCTTTGTCTTTATTCCACTTGAAGTTTGTTGAACTTCTTGAACATGAAGATTTTTCCCTTTTCCCTTCTCTCTCTCGCCTCCTCTTTTGGTGCTCCTGTGTGTTTTGGTGCACTTAGTGATGTCTGAGTCTATGTTCACTTTTCTTCATTCTTTTTTCTGTCTGTGCTGTGGCTTGCATAATCTCTACCTGTTTTCAAGTTTGCTAATTCTTTCTTCTGCCAGTCTAAATCTACTGTTGAGTCTCTGTGATGAATTTTTTTTCCCAGTTATTGTACTTTTCAACTCCAGTATTTCCATTTGGTTCTTTTTAAAAAAAATTACTACTCTTTGTTGATATTCACTATCTGATGAGACATTGTCATCATACCATTCTTTACTTCTTTAATTAAGCTTGCCTTTAATTCTGTGAAAATATTTATAATGGCTACTTTTATGTCTTTTCCCGTTAAATTCAACATCTGGTCATTCTCACAGACAGCTGTCTGTTTTTTTCTGGTGTATGGGTCATACTCTCCTGTTTCTTTGAATGCTTGGTAATTTTATTGTTGTTGTTGTTGTAAACCAGACATTTTAGATAATATAACAACTCTGAGTACTGATCCCCCACCTTCTCTGGCACTTGTTATTGTTATTTGCTTATTTGTTTAATGACAGGATGGATTATTTTATTTAGGTCTCTTTTCCCGCTACAATGTTAAGTCTGGTGTTTCTCCTCAGGGAGATGAAGCTTTGGGTATGCTCAGTCACCCTGGGATGACAGTGGTACTAGTAATGATCTCCTCCATTCTTTCCCTGACCACACTAAGGTGTTAAGCTCCACTAATTGCTCTATTGTTTAAAACAATGCCCTGGAGCATGAATTCAGCTACAAAGGAATGTAATCAATACTGTTCCTTCCTCAGAGTAGTTTCTGAGATCAATGTTTGATATTTGTTCTGACCCCAGTAGGGCTCCTCCTAAGCTGTCTTATTTTCTGGTTCTCTCCTGCAAACTAGCAGACGTACAGCCTAGGCTGTATCCTTGTTAGGTGTGTGAATCTCCTTCCAGTTCCCTTCACCACAGACTCCACTATTTTTGAGAATGCCCTTAGGTTTAAACGTCTCTATCTCTGTTGCAGATAAGTTAATTTCTCTGGGAAAAGATTAGGAGCTGTTTGTTTTATGCCCTGTTTATTCCTCCAGGCAAAAATCTCTGAGCCAGGGCTCTGGAACTGGGGATGGGGACAATGGAAACTTCTCTCTGAGTGAGTCCCTTGCTCTAGAAGTTGAGCATTCAGTGAAGGGGTGAGTAGTAGCCCAAGGTTCTCTCTGCTTGCCTCTCCTCGTGTGGAACCACTGCCATATGAGCCTGGGGAAAGGGCTGTCTTGTTTCAGTAATCTCAGTGTGCCACACCCAAGAGAGAGCCTCAGCTGTATGAGTGTGGGTAGAGCAGAAGAAGGGAGCCCGACCTCTTGATCACAGTCACCTAGGACCTAGCCTCAGCAGTGGGCCAATGGGGGCAGGATGAGAAATGGTGAAGTCCTGTTCCTCCTGGGGATAAAACTGGGAGCTGGGGGAAGAGGGAGCCCTTTATTCTTGGTTGTAGCAGTCTGGAGTGGAGTTTTTGCCTTACTACGCTGGAGGTGGGAGGGAGGAGAGAGGGAAAAGTCTTCGTTGAAATGCCAGACTCTCACCTTTCTTACAAACTTTTCATAGATTTTCTTGAATAGATGTTTCTTCATTTGCTGTTTGCCCTTAGGACCATTTCCAGAGGCTTTGCTTTTTATTATTTTTTAAATAATATTTTTTGTGTTTTTGATGAAAGTTTCCACAGTAGATTAGTTTCCCATTTGAGAACTTCTATACAAGAATTATCGAGTGACATTAGTTACATTTTTCACAATACATTAATATTCTCTTTAATTGCCTTTTCGTGGTTCCATTTCCAATATTCTGTTTTCCCTGCCCCCTTATCTTTTCATCTTTGCTTTAGGGTAATTGTTGAGCTTTTGGTGTCATATAGATGGTTTTTTAGTAGCACATTGTACTTATGAGTAATAGCCTTTATTTTGTGTGCTACTCTGCTATTTCGCTAAAAGGTGATCTCATGCGATAGTTTCAGTTCCAGGTTTAAAGAGTATCTCAGAGCGCTTGTCTCGGAGTCTTCTGGTCTCAAATGTTCCAGTAAGTCTGAACTTTTTAAGACTTTGAGTTCTGTTCCGAGTTTTTCTCCTCTCCTATCAGGGTCCGTCTATTGTGGCCCTGATCAGAATGGTCCATAGTGGTAGTTAGGCACCATCTAGTTCTTCTGGTCTCAGAGTAGATGAGGCTGTAGCTTGTGTAGGCTATTGCCCTATAGACTAGTTTCTTCTCTTCCAGAGGCTTTAAATAGTTGTTTTTAAGAATAATTTTCACCGGTTTCACTGGAAAGCGCATCAGTGGAGCTTCTCATGCTCCTATGGATTGATCCCCAATATCTTGTATTTTTATTATAGCTTTCTCTTTTCCAATATTAATAAAGAGAATCAATTCAATAACTTCCTTATAAAAAAATTTCTGTGCTTAAAACTGATCGTATTTAACTCATCCTTTGTATTTTTTTTCATAAACACTCTTAATTCTTCCTGTGTTACTTCATAGACTCCATTTACTCATTCTTTTCTTTTTGTCAGTTCCTTCAAGTTACTGTGGTATTTGTGGAGTGTAGCAGAATTACTTCCCTGTCTTTGCTCTTGTATTGTCATAATATACTATGATGTTTAACGTTGCCTTGGCTTCGTTGATTCCCAAGTAATGACCTTGAATGATTTTTGTTTTGCCTGTTATAGATCTCTGTGTACATCTTTTTATGATGTTCTTTTTTTTTTAAATTGTGCTTTAGATGAAGGTTTACAGAGCAAATTAGTTTCTCATTAAATAATTAATACACATATTATTTTGTGACATTGGTTGCCAACCCCACAACATGTCAACACTTCTTGACCAACTGGGTTCCCTGTTACCAGCTTTCCTGTCCCCTCCTACCTCCTCGTCCTTGCCCCTGGGTTGGTGTGCCCATTTAGTCTTGTTTTGTTTTATGGGCCTGTCTAATCTTTGGCTAAAGGGTGAACCTCAGGAGTGACTTCAGTACTGAGTTAAAAGGGTGTCCCGGGGCCATACTCTCAGGGTTTCTCCAGTCACTGTCACACCAGTAAGCCTGGTCTTTTTCCTTTTTTTTGTGAGTTAGAATTTTGTTCTACATTTTTCTGCAGCTCTGTTCAGGACCCTCTGTTGTGACCCCTGTCAGAGCGGTCGGTGGTGGTAGCCGGGCATCATCTAGTTGTGCTGGACTCCAGCAGTCTGTTGGAGGCTGTGGTAGTTGTGGTCCATTAGTCCTTTGAACTAATCTTTCCCTTGTATCTTAGGTTTTCTTCATTCTCCCTTGCTCCAGATGGGGTGGGACCACTGGAGTGTCTTAGATGGCTGCTCACAAGCTTTTAAGACCCCAGACACTACTCACCAAAGTAGAACGTAGAACATTTTCTTTATAAACTATGTTATGCCAGTTGAGCCAGATGTCCCCCAAGACCATGATCCCCAGCCCCCAGCCCAATAATTCGGTCCCTCAGGGAGTTTGGGTGTGTCTGTGAAGCTTCCATGACCTTGCCTTGGTGAAGTTGTGCTGACTTCCCCACTATTGTGTACTCTTACCCTTCACCAAAGTTACCACTTATCTATTGTCTATTTGGAGACCTGGTGGCACAGTGGTTAAGAGTTTGGCTGCTAACCAAAAGGTTGCCAGTTCGAATCCACTAGCAGCTCTTTGGAAACCCTATGGGGGAAGTTCTACTCTGTGCTGTTGGGTCGTTATGAATTGGAATTGACTTGACAGCAATGGGTTTGGTTCTTGGTTATTGTCTATTTAGTGTTTTTCCTTCCCCACCCTTCCCCTCCCTAGTAACCATCAAAGATTGTTTCTTTCTGTGTGTAAACCTTTTCATAAGTTGTTATAATAGTGGTCTCATACAGTATTTGTCCTTTTGTAATTGACTTATTTCACTCAGCATAATGCCCTCCAGATTCATCCATGTTATGTTTCACAGATTCATCATTGTTCTTTGTCGTTGTGTAGTATTCCATTGTGTGTTATGTACCATAGTTTGTTTATCCATTCATCTGTTGATGGGCATTTAGGTTGTTTCCATTTTTTTGCTATTGTGAATAATGCTGTAATGAACATACGTGTGCATTTGTCTATTCATGTGACAGCTCATTTCTCTAGGATATAGTCCTAGGAGTGAGATTGCTGGATCATGTGGTATTTCTATTTCTAGCTTTTTAAGGAAATGCCATATTGTTTTCCAAAATGGTTGTACCATTTTACATTCCCACCAGCAGTGCATAAGAGTTCCAGTCTCCCCACAGCCACTCCAACATTTGTTATTTTCTGTTTTTTTGATTCATGCCAGTAATGTTGGGGTGCGATGGTATCTCATTGTAGTTGCGATTTGCATTTCTCAAATTCTTAGTGATCATGAGTGTTTCCTCATGTGTCTGTTAGCCGCCTGAATGTCTTCTTTGGTGAGGTGTCTGTTCATATCCTTTCCCCATTTTTTAATTGGATTATTTGTCTTTTTGTTGTAGAGGTGTTGGATTTTCCTGTCGATTTTAGAGATTAGACCTTTGTCGGATTTGTCATAGCCAAATTTCTTTGTAGTCTGTAGGTTCTCTTTTTACTCTTTAGTTGAAGTCTTTTGATGAGCATAAGTGTTTAATTTTTAGAAGATCCCAGTTATCTAGCTTATCTTCTGGTGTTTGTGTATTGTTAGTTATTGTTGGTATCCTGTTTATGCTGTGTATTAGTGCCTCTAGCGTTGATGCTATTTTTTCTTCTATGATCTTTCTAGTTTTTGGTTTTATATTTAGGTCTTTGATCCTTTTTGAGTTAGTTTTTGTGTATGGCATGAGGTGTCAGTCCTGTTTCATTTTTTTGCAGATGGACATCCAATTTTGCAAGCACCATTTGTTAAAAAGAGTATCTTTTCCCCATTTAATGACTTTGGACCTTTGTTGAAGATCAGGTGACCATAGGTGGATAGCTTTACACCTGGGTTCTCAATTCTGTTCCATTGTTCAATGTATCTGTTGTTGTACCAGTACCAGGCTGTTTTGACTACTGTAGCTGTATAGTAGGTTCTGAGGTCAGGTAGTGCGAGTCCTCCTACTTTATTCTTCTTCAGTCATGCTTTACTTATCTGAGGCTTCTTCCCTTTCCATGCAAAGTTAATGATTAGTTTTTCCTTCTCATTAAAGAATGCTGTTGGTATTTGGATCAGGATTGCATTGTCTTCGTAGATTGCTTTGGGTAGAATTGACATTATCACAGTACTGAGTCTAACTATCCATGAGCATGGTACATTTTTCCATTTATGTAGGTCTCTTTTGGCTTCTTGGAGTAGTGTTTTGTAGTTTCCTTTGTATAGGTCGTTTACTTTTTTTGATGTTCTTGACGGTTGTTGTTAGTTGCTGTTGAGTCAATTCTGACTCATGACAGGTCAAATAAGATAATGATATGAACGTATCGTGAAACTTGTAAAATATTATAGTCCATGTTCAATAAATATTTGTAGAATGAATCAAATTTCTAATGAAAATGTTTTTTCTTTAAGTTAGGTAGTGTTTTTATTTTATTTTATGCTGAATACTAACTTTTTTCTTGTTTAAAAATGCTATTTCCTTAAACAGGCAAGTGTGTTTATTTCTAAAACGAGGTGCCAATCAACATGCCACTGATGAAGAAGGGAAGGACCCTTTGAGTATAGCTGTGGAAGCAGCCAATGCTGATATAGTGACCTTGTAAGAATTCTTTTTCACTTAATATTTCACATCCAATTTATTACTTGTACAGGGTGTTAACATCAAGTTTCATGCATATATATGAACTTTAAAAGTAATTGGTTATTTCCTATGTGTTATGTGCTTCTCTACATACTTTAAAGGTATAAGTTTATTTGGTGCTCACAACAGCTGGATAAGGGAGGCATTATTATTATCATCCTCGTTTTACAAATGAGGAAGCCAAGCCACAGGTAATTTGAGAAATTTGTCTAAGATCACAAAGCTGGTAAGTGGTGGTAGATCTGAGACTGAAACCAAGAATTCTACCACTTTAAAGCCGCTTCCTACTGCATGACCAGTAGGAAGAGAAAACTAGTGACTTCTCTGAAATGGATTTGTTAACCCTTAATTGAGTACCTGAGGGGACTGACAGAGTAACAGGTAATTCTTCTACCTCAAGAGTTAGAGGATTACAAGTAGGGAGGACAGCTGCATTGATGTTAGTAACTGTTGCAGTTGCATTGCCTTTGGGCCGTGATATTTAGAAATCTAGATTGATTGTAAAATAAAAATTCTTGTTTTTGAATGTTTGAATAAAATTTAATGTGATATATTAGAGAAAGAAGTTTGAGTTCTTAACTTGATTTTCATCTTAAATCAAAATAGTTTGTTACATTTGAAATCTATAAATGAGATTGTCACCCACACTTCATTGTTATGTAGGAAGTCTCAAGAGTACTTTGTAGGAAGTTGCTTTTTCATTGTATTCTAGGCTGAATGAAGCCCAGAATTGATCATCCCTTGTCATTTGAGTAGAGAGGGTTCCATCTACCTTATTGAATCTCAGTCATTTACAAAGAGAAATTCCCTCAGTTGACTTGACCCCCCAGCACTCCCACTGAGAATTCTTGACTTGCCATATGTCACTCCTCCCTCACTTCTGCCAAATTAAGAACAAAACAAAACAGCAAAACAGGCTTTCCCTGTATACTCATTGCCCTTTTCTCACTAAAGGTATTGTTATTATTGTGGGAGGTATTTTGAAAAAAAAAAATTAGAACTATTAAATCATTCTAGATTTAGAATTGGAGAAAGTTATTAAAAAATAGGAATAGTATAGAGGCACTAACTCTGGATGCAGCTTCCTAGGCCATTTCTATGTAGTTATGACCCCCTTTCTAAAAAATGTCTGTCCCCAAATTATCTAAATTTTCTCATTTTAATTTGTGTGAGAATTTGGAGCGTCACGTAAAAATTTAAAAAAATAAAAATCTCTTAAAATCTAAATACTAGAGGGAGAATTATGGTGCTATTGTTAATTCACACAGTGGTTAAGAGAAGAGATGAAGAGTATTGTGGTAGTTTGAAGATAGGAAATGCCCATGCTAGATCCCGCAGTTGCCGGAGTGAGCATGTTTGAAGAGGATGATAGAGGTCTGGGAAGGCAGTGGACCTGGGAGGACAGACGAGCAGTACAAAGTAGAAGTGGGATACCAAAGACAACATTTGCCTATTTTAAATGTTGCTTACAGTCAGCAAGAATATGGGAGGAAATTCTTAAGTTTTTAATCTAATGCTACATGCCTTACTGCTGCCAGGATTAATAACCTAAAAAAGAATATATAAGCAGTATGGTAGTCTTCTCGGAGCCCTGATGGCACAGTGGTTAAGAGCTGGGCTGCTAACCAAAAGGTCAGCAGTTCAAATCCACCAGCCGCTCCTTGGAAACCCTATGGGGCAGTTCTACTCTGTCCTATAGGATCACTATGAGTTGGAATCAACTCAATGGCAACAAGTTTGGTTTTATGGGTTTATGGGAAAATCTTAGTAACCTATAGTCATTTATTATAAAAATTGTCTATCAAAATATATCCCCAAGTTCCAAATAATCAGTATTTAGAGATAACATACTGTATTTATGCATCTTGAACCACCCTCCCCTCAGGGTGAACCAAAGTAAACTTAGGACAGGCTATTGCTTCCACATTGTAGAAGCAATAATTTCAGCAGCAGGCACTTAACAAGTGTGCCAAGTTGCTGTAGGAGCCAGGAACTCTCTAGATTCTGGAGGAAGCAAGCTACTGGAGGTGCTGCAGGGATTCTGCTTCAATAGAGCTGGAATGCACTTGTCAGTAATCTTTTATCATCTTCTCTCATAGGTATTATATGTAGTAAGACAGTTATTTTTGTATCTCAGATTGCTAGGTTTGATAAACCAAAATCTAGTTTTAGTCGTAAATACTAGTAAAAGATAATAAATTCTTTAGTACATGTATTACGTGCTTATGTAATTCATTAGTTAATGAATATTTGTATTGTGTAATGTCATCTAAAAAATCCTTCTATGTAATTTCAGGTTACGTTTAGCAAGAATGAATGAAGAGATGCGGGAATCAGAAGGACTTTATGGACAGCCAGGTCAATATTCCACTAATAATCATACTGAAATGCAGTATAAGAAATGCATTCAGGAATTTATCAGTTTACAATTGGAAGAGTCATAGTTCTTTAGCAAACTAACTTAACACTATACAGTTTTTATAACCTAGTTGCAAATTGTGAGTTTCTTAGCTGTGTACTGTAGTTACTGAATTCTTGGGTGGCTGATGGCCAGATCTTTAAAAATCCACCACAATTCCTATTGCAGTACACATTTACATGCAGTATTTAACTTCTTGGCTGCTGACTTCCTGTATCTGCTCTACAGATGTCTTCCATATACGTTCCAGTGAAGTGAATGGAATGATAATGTGTTCTTTATATACTTACAGCAGCACAATGAGTGTTTTCTTTTTGGAATTGTTTTTAGCTGTCAAGTGACTGTAACATAATTGTTTCCTTTTTGTCATTCAGGGAATTTCTATAAATTGTGTTCAGGGAAAAAACAAATCATCATATGTTTGGCATATAAAATGTCAGTATGGAAAATACCAAGAAAAAGTTTATTGAATTAAGAGTTTTATATTCCAATCTAAAAATGAGTTGAAGGTTTCAAGTAAAAGTTTACCCGTAGGTTAAGAAGTCCCTAATGGGAGTGAAATTAGTTTAAAAGAGAGGGAAAAGGTCTTGTTGCTTTGCCCCAAGCAGTTGTGTAGAGTATCTGTTGGATAAGTGGATTATTTAGAACAATATTTGTGAACCTCATGGCAAAGTAGACTTACTCTTATTAGAGAAATCTCAACTCATGATCAGCTTGTTTCAGTTTTGATGGATTTTCATCTTTGAGTCAAGATGTCAAGAAAAGGAAGAAATGTTGCTGATCACATTTTTCTCTTTGATGAACACATCCTGATTAGCCATTCTTCACCAAGAAGAGAATCATTATTAGATCTCTAGTTTCATGAGTTGGAGTATATGAATCACTAATTTATGTGTTTTGGATTTATACACGTACTAGTAAAAAAAATTTCAGGAGTTCATGACTAAAATCCTTGAGAACGTTCAGTTTGCAATGAGTATATTTGATTTTTTTTCCAATGAATTTTGATATATTATTTCTAAAGTGGCCTGGTAATATCATCTTTACTTCCTATTTAAATATGTGCTAAAGTCTCTGTACTTTTATGCTAGCTTCAGCCATTTACTTTTGTTTTTAACCAGATTAACACATAATTAATGTAAATGTGAGGCCATTCTTTTCTCAGAGGACTGTATTTACTACTTACTTTTGGCCTGACTTAATAGGGAACAGGTAAGAACTTTGAGAACAGAGGCACTTCAGCTAGGTGCTCCTAATCTAGGGTGCTCCTCTTTAATCCTATGGATCATACAGTACTCCTGACTCATGATGTACCAAGCTGTAAGAGTGCTGACTGAGGGTGAAGTTTCAGTGTTAATTCTGGATTTCACCTGTTTGTTTTAAACTTGAATGTTAGATTTTAAATAAGGTATAATTTTGTAAAAAATATAATTAAGTGATAATATTACTAGGCCATTTTTGAGGCCTTTGTGTTTAAGCACTTTAAAATAAAAATTGTTCAAAGGATATATTAACTGATATTTGTGAGATAGGAATGAACTTCAAGATTTTAAGTTAATGATTTTTTTTTCCCTGAAATTTTAAACTTAAATGTTTGGTCAGCTGATCTTTCTTTAAGGTGTTTGCTGATGAAGTTATACCCAAGTGATTAGTCAGAAGGTCAGTGGTTGACTTTTCTCTGGAGTTGGGAGGCTTGAAAGCAAAGAGCCTTCTATGTTCTTGCCGCTTCTAGTTCCACCCAAATTGCTTGGGCTTCTGCTGCCACCATTAAACCAAAAAAGGCAAACTCGTTGCTGTTGAGTCAAATCCGACTCATAGTGACCCTGTAGGACAGAGTAGAACTACCCCACAGGGTTTCCAAGAAGTGGCTGGTAGATTTGAACCACTGAACTTTTGTTTACCAGTCATAGCTCTCAACCACTGCGCCACCAGGGCTCCAGTAGGAGCATTCAAATGTCTCTTTCATTGTCGTTTATGTATAAGTTTATGTATGAACATATGAATATATGTTTTCTGTTCATCAGTCAAAAATAGTTTTTCTGGTTTATTTGAATGGAAAATTGAAAAAAAAAAAACATTTTAAAACAATATTTTCTACCACTCTCAAATTTTACTTTAGAGGTTAAAAAATACATCAGAATTCTAGATGTGTCAGCAGAATAAAATGAAATTTTGATCTATTTGAGGGTCATCTTGATAATAATTAGATTCTTAACTCATTTTGACGGCCTAGTTCTTAAAGCAGAACAGTTTTATTCTTACACAGGTGACGTGGGGAAATGGCACTCTGACTACTTTTCTTTTCTGAATCTTTGGAGAGCAGATATGTTTGCACAGGCAGCAGCTCATTTTTTCTCCTCTGCTTATTACTCTAAATTTTTCTCTCCTTGACTTTTGTTGACTGTTTTATAGGGATACTTTGTTTGTAGTCCCTAGCAATAGAAAGAAAACCTCAGATTTAGAGGAAATTTTTAAAAAGCAGGTATTTTCAATCTTTTGATAATGAAGAGCCTGACCATTGAAAAGACTCAGATATAATCTTTGGCAATCATGGACCTATTCCTAGAAAACCCAGCTTCTGAACTTTCTACTACCCATAAAGTCCTGGGACACCCAGTTTTTTGCAAGAGGAAATAAGAACTCACATTTTCTTGTTTATCAGTTCCTACAACTCTTAGGAGGCCCAGGTCAATGAGTGAAATGTCACATGCTGCTCTCAATTGTTGGAAACCAGCCTGGTGGTTCCCACAGTCTGTGGCTCCATGACTACTCTTGGTGGTTGTCAGAGTTTCTCAGCCAGTTGAGAATTGCTGCTTTAGTGAACTGGGTATAGCAGTAAGTAGTAGGCAAAGGTTGGAAATCACTGATCTAATCAGTTATACAAAGGAAGCTATTACCAACCGAGTAGAGGCATGATCACCTGGTTGGGGGGGGGCGGGGGCGGGAAGGGCTTCACATGCTGCCATTCCTTTGAGGGAGTGCATTTCAAGAGCAAAATCACCAAAGTCTTGGATCCTTGTAACTGCTGTTGCAATGGATATCCTGAATACCAAAAAGTAAAAACTATTTTAAACTATCAGTGGAACTACAGCAGTATACATTTTAAAAACTCAGAACTGCCCATGTACATATGAAAGTTGACTATCTCAAGGGAAATAGGATGTGGTTTAGTACTTCAAAGGATATGTTACAAATACTGACTGGGTGATTAGTTGTCTACCATTTATAATAAACTGTTAAATGTACTTCTGTGAACATTCCAGGGGGAGTATTCTGGGTTGTTGTTTATGTGTTCCAGTGTAGACAAATGATATTAGCTTTGGGAAAAAATTTAAAAGGTTAAAATGATATTTAAATTATAAAGAATCACAGTGAAGTCCAGTTTATGTTAACTATATTAAATATCTTAGTCACTATTGTTATTATTTGTTTTTTTGACAACACATTTGGAGGTCTAAGAAAGGTAGTGTATTGACAGTGCACTAATTATGTCTTGTCAGAAACTGAATTTTAACACAAAGTTTTGTGTGTGTGAAGGTGGAAACTTCTTCTGTATTGTATTAACTCTTTTTAAATGGATTCAGTCAGTGAAACCAATGATTAGCCTAGCAAGTAGCACCAACACTTTCCTTCAAGGAAGCATTTAATTCAGCAAATGAAAGACTTTATAATTTGTTTTGCATGGTACAATGGTTCTACTAAAATGTGCTTGTGTAATAGGTACTAGATGATTTAATAACAAAAACTGGGAAACTACAAAAAGAAAAAAAAACCTACAGCTTGTTCTACAAAATATGCATTGCTAATAGTAGAAGCCATATATTGCCATTGTACTGTTGTAATACTTGAGAATGCTCATCTGGTGCTATCTGTAAAATACTTGGTATTAGCGTCTGCTAGATCCTTTTTCCTAATTCTTCTTGAATGTACAATGTGTGCCTTTTAAGTTAGTTTTGATGTTGAATGGTACAATCAGTGTGGTATTTTTGTATTATGATAATCTGCACTTTATACTTTCTTGGAAAGTAAAATTCCAGACTCCAGTTTGAATAGTATTTAAAAAAAATATTTATAATGTTTACAGTAAATATTTTAATTCAACATCTAAGAATAAGAAATTTAAAAAAATATTTTTATGGTTTGTGAATTGCTATTTAATGTTGCTTCCTTCTCAGTTTATTTTATATCTTTGAGAATGGCTAAAAATGGGAATAAATTGTAGTTTGTCTTTTAATGTGAGAGGAGACTTTTAAGAAATAATGGGTGAAACTAGATTGCCTTACAGTTGCTCCAGTACATCAGTTCAGATTTTTACTGTTTTAGTTAACAGTTGTATAAGGTGGAGGTTACTCTCATCCATCCAATTAAGATACTTTTTTTTAAAATAAATTAGAATGATTAGGCCTATTCAATTGATTCAGGTTCAGATAACCAAAAAATTCCAGGGCTAACTAAAAATTATATAGGGATTTTAGTAAATTATTTTTTACATACACTAAATATTAGAAGAGACTAAATATTAAAAGAATTACACAATTTTCATTGAAAATGTTGGATTATGCTGTTCAACCTTTTCACTAGATCTTTATCCCCCTCCCTCAACTTTTTTGGAATTCTGTAGCTTTTGGTATGGTATCTCTTACCTCAAAAATCTTGCTTTTTAAGAGCTGATAAAACTTACTGCACTATTAACAACTGTAGCAATGAGTTTGTTATAAGATGGATGCAAGGTATCCTGTGGGAAATAATTATAAAACCACGTGGCAACAGTAATGGTCTAAGTATTTGATGGTCTAAATCTTGAGAACAGTTATGGAGCTAAGCTTCTGTATAAAGCTAAGTTTGACAGGAAACACTCTTGATGAGTGATTTCATCTCGAAAATAAGATTTTACTTCATACAAATCCTTTGTCTGAGGAATTAATCTGTACATGTGTATGTGTGTATATATTTAGCTTCTCATGGCAAGAAAAATAGTATTCAATCTGCTATAATACCAGTATCTATAATTTACTTCTCTACAAGCATATTTGTACATATACACATATATTAAATGTAATCCTGTTTGTTACTCTTAATTTAGCAGATGTCTTTAGTATCTGTTCTTATTTCATCATGGCGTTATTACTCATATGATCTACAGTAAACAAAAAACTACCTGTGAAACTGTGATTTTATAGTCATTTTCTAGGCTTTATTATTTTAGCAGCTTAGTAAGCAGCAATACGTCCATCGGTGAGTTCATTAGTTTTAATTAAGCATTAAAGTTTGATTAAAGAATTACTTTTTCACATGCCATTTAACTTAAAATAGCCTTTAATTAAAAGATAATATTCACACAGGAGGCTTTTTTCTGCCACCTGATTATCAGATTGTCTTGTAATAACTTGCATCCATCAAAAACATTAGTATTTGGTTTTGGTCATTTCTATTCTCAAAGGAAATATTTAAAGAATGCCTTGTTTACCTCATTTAGAATGACTTTAATTTCTCACGTGTTAATAAATGTATTTCTTTACGTTGCTTTAAAACACTTGCATCTTTGCTCTTTTCTAACTCTCAACTTTCCTCTGTGGCTGCATCTGAGGTGCTTTTTTCAGGTATCGTTTTTTTTTTTTTTCCTTTCAATATACACTTTTCTGGCATTTGTATTTAGTTGGTCTCTTTCCTTCTAAAATGCTCATCTGAACACATTTTTAATGTAATTGAATTACAAAATAGTTACTAGTCATAAAATTGAATGCTTTTTTTCGGTAATTTAATTGTATGAATTTGTATAAATTTTAAAAGTGTCATTTTATTTTCATGCAGGTGATGAAACATACCAGGACATTTTCCGTGATTTTTCCCAAATGGCATCCAATAATCCAGAGAAACTAAATCGTTTCCAGCAAGATTCACAGAAATTCTGAATTTTTTTAAGAAGGAGAAAATATTAAATCTGATGATCCCCTAATGTGTACAGCTGAAAACTCACAAGTTTTTACTGCTTTAAGTCTACTTTACTTCATTAGTTTTGGTAGATATTGAACAGTTTAGAAAAAAGGTACCCATTCATTGATACTTTTTATAAATTAAAATATAGATCTCTAATAGTTGGGAGAGACACCTGCTTCAGGACCTCTTTTTTCTTTCTTAAAAAAGCCTGTTCAATAGGCTGTTTTGTACAGATTAAAGTAAAAGCTAGACTTAGGCTATCTCTAGGTTAAGGGGTCTAAGCGTCTATGATGCTAAGGGGTTAGACAAATCTCTTTTTTGCCAGTGGATGGTAGCATTGATTTCTCTGTGCATCGTGCCGGACCCATTCAGTCAGCATATTTGCCTTGAGTGGGAGTCAACTGTCCTGCCTGCCTCAAGAAATGCCTTTTTTTAAACTTTCCAATGATTTTTGGTGGTTCAGAACTAGTGTGTTTTTGGTGGTTGTTATTTTTTTTCATAGATTAGCTGTCATACACACAATATATGATTTACTTATTAGAAATAGAGAATGTGTTTTTCCCCATTTACTCATAAATGCAGTTCTAGATGTCAAGTAATTGTCCCATACTTTAGCGTATATATAATGGCTGTACAGGTAGACATAGTTCACTTCTTTAGATTTATTCCACTTTATGAAGAAAAAAGCCCTCGAAATGTTTTTTTTGATCACCAAAAGAGACTCAGCTGTAGAAGTTGTAGTTCTTCATTGTTGGGTTGATGTCATGAAAACTTGCCAAATTTATTGAGATAATAAAACTGTGTTTCAGAGGTTACTTGAATGTTGCAAAATCATGCTTTCATCAGAATGTAACTTTCAAAGAAAAGTTGATTTGTAACAATATATAGGATATTTTTTTATTTGAAATTTGTCCTTGTCGAGATACATTTTTGCTATTGCTCCTAGTGAAAGAAAAATCTGTCTAAAGGAGGAAGAATCTCTTATGTTTTTCATAGTTTCTATAGCAATAACTCACTTGTTAATTTTTTTCTACCTCTGTCCTATGTGCATGTGTTAGACACAGTGTACATTCTTTTTTAATTATATCACCTACAATAGCTTTAGTATTCGTTTACGAACCACAGACCCTTTAATATTCCAAAGCATTATGGATATACTTATTTACCATCTATGTGTATGCTACAAGTTAGTCTGATTCCAGCTTTGACTGTCTTGTCAGGAGTATAGAATAATTTAGTAATTTGCTTTATGTTCCCTTCTTAGTATAGTCATTCAGTGTAGTCAAGTTTGTTCATCTTTTACAAACTATGTGGATATTACCAAATACTCAGTCTTGTAAGAGAGATTTTAAAACTGGATTATCAAAAAGTAGAGAAATTATTTTTAATTGGGTAGATAATAAATTTTCTAATATTTCCCCCTGATAACTAGGGATTTATAAATTGATTAAATATCAAATCAGAATTATACTGAAATAAAATAATACCACAGAAAAGACTCCATAATTTGTTTGGCCAAATTGCATGTATGCAATGGCTGTTCAGTAACAGTCACTGTATATTAGAATAAGGATAAAAACACATTTTATACATTTATGAATTATTTCCAAGGAAGGGCTAATTCTAAACCATTGCATTTTAGTTACAACAAAAATTGGGACATTAAATCTTTCCTGTTTCACCTCAGAGTCACAAATCATCTGGGTTTTTAGGTACTTTACCTAAAGACAAAAGTCTGATTTGTAACATTTTTATTAGAGTGTGCTTTGAAATAAATTGTCTGAAAAGCTCAAGGATAAAGAAATACGAGAAAAAAAAAGTGAGAGAAATAAAGAGAAAAGGAAAGAGGAGAGAGCCCTACTTTTCCTTTGCAGTGCCTACTCCTGTTTTAATCCTAGGACTTCACTCTGAGAGCTCCTGGCTTTTGTTGTCCTTGTTCTGAGGCGGCCTAGGCAGCTTTCCTCTTGGATCCAGCTACTGGCGCTTCAGATCACCCCTGGGATCTCTGTGGTGGTGAGGGCAATTCCTTATCACACGCTTTCCTTCTGTGGCTTGAGTCATGAGCTGTTCATGTGGCAGTGATTCGTATCTACTCAAATTTAATGGTTAGAGGTGTGTTTGAAGTGCACTAAAGATTATCAGGACTCTGGATCTCCTCAGAGAAAACAAAATCTCTGATAGTGGAGAGAAGCTGGCCCCACCAAAATCCATTTCTATGGCTTGATTTCTTGACTATGCTGAGACTCAGTTTGGACTATTTTGGCAGAAATGATGGCGTGAACAGCAAGACTTTGAAGTAAATTAATAGTTATAGTTACAAGGTAGGTTGGCTTTTAGGTGAATTTAACTGTGTCAACTAATAACTTTTATTGTATAGTATGTAACAAGTCTGAGTTTTAGTATGCTGTGAAATATTCAGTGCATTATGAGAAATTACCGTGTAAACAATGTTAATAATACTCTTGAGCTTCAGAAGTCATTGTGATTGCCCTTTGTTTTCTTTCCATGACTGATCTACAGATATTACTTTATGATTCCTTATCATCATTCTGTTAGCTCATTAACTTAAAAAATTAGATTATTATCAAAATAGGAATAGCAGTACTAAATATGAAGAGTTCATAAAATACAATTTCATGTTAGAACTAGATTAAAGGTAATTGAGTAGTTATTTGTAATGCTTCATTGCAACACTATATCTATGTTTAACATTAATAAGGTTTAAAAATTCCCTTGGTACACTCCTTAGAAATTTGGAAATTTCCAGAGATTCACTACATTACAGTGTTTGCCTAATTTATGCTGGTCTTCATGGTAGATTTTAATGAACTTAGATATTTACTTTCTAAAACATGCAGATTTAATTTGGAATATGTCCTTTAGTTCTTCATGAATGTATTTTGAAAAAAAATTTTATACCTTCACAGGGTGGACAACTTAAGTTTGTGATATGTTAAGCAGTATTTTAAAAATACAATTTTATGCATGTAAAGTATGGTCACAATAAACCAAATTGTATTTAAGACTAAATTTATTACCCATTTTGAATAATAAGACATTCCCAAAACACTCTTATATTGTCAAATTAACTTTTCTGTTTGATAGTACTTTCAGCCATGGACATGAGCTGGGAAAATGACGTATTTTTATGGAATTGTATAATGACTTCTGAGCTACATGATACAGTGGAAAGAGCACTGGACTGGTGGTCATCACCTTTTTGGATTCAGGGCTCTTCACAAATAAAATGAGTGGGATGAGAAAAGGTGAAAATACAATATCCATTTTTATAATGTTTTGCTGTTTACAATGTATTTTGACATTACTTTATCTCACCTGATTCTCTCAGTAGGACTTTGAGATCTGAATCTAAGAGTTCTGACATTGTCTCCTCTTTTGAGCCTAGTCTGCTCCTCTTGTTTTACAGAGGAGGTCGCTTGATTTCCTAGTAGGTAGCAGAAGTGACCAGAACCAAGGCTAGTCAGAGGCATTTTCCTGGTATCATGAAGTGGTTTGAAATCCTTATAAAGCAGCAAAATCTGATAATAACTGCAAGCTTTCCTTGTGTTTTGATAACAAAGACTCCAAATATTCTGGAGAACTTGGATGTAATATTACCTTAAAGGAATAGATTAAGATTTGAAGATGAATTGTACATTTTTTACAGTAACAAACTGATGAAAGTAAAACATTGTACAAGTAATTTTGATTCACCATATACTTATCAATTTCTTGATGCTTCCAAATGATAGATAACTAAGAGAGGCTTAGGTTCAGTGTAGCTGAATCCTGACATCTATAGTAATGGTTTTGTTAATGGACATTATTTTCTGTTTATGTAAATTTATCCAGTTAATATGGACTAATGGGGGAAAAAGCAGTATTCGATTAAACTTTTTTCTGCATTGGTCTTTTCACTATCTTATGTTCTAGATTTTCTTATTGTTTCTCAACTCTCCTTTTGAGTGCTAATTTTAAACAGGGAAAGCCTGGTTCATTATGAAGATTGTTGACACCATTTATTTTACACAAAGGCTAAACATTACTTTTTGAAACGATGAGCTACTTTTCTATATGTGTTTACCTGTGTTTTGTGATATTTCTGAATCATTCCAGTCATAAAGACTTATTACATGTAATATTTCTTGCTACCTGTGAAAAGGTTCATTTTAAAGAATGTATAACCGACACTCCATTTACTTTTTATTGGTCTGTAGTGGATTTGTATCTAATACATGAATGTAGTTTTACTGTAGTTTGCCATTGTAAATGGAGCAAAGTACATTATCTTTATAGTTACTCTAAAATGTATATTATGTAAGAATTGTAAATATTATACTTGATTAAATACTTTGTATGCTGAAAAATTATGATAATAAGTCAATAAAAATCTCACCTCTGGCATAGTTCTTTTATGCTCAGCCTTCCACTTTCTTGTGAACTACCGTGCAGACATATCTGTTAACTAGTTACATTTAAGGTGTTATATTCTTTTCCAGCTCTTTCAAACTGATCCAGCCTGATCCTGTTTGCGATTGCTTTTCTTCTTCTAGGCCACAGAGCTGTATGGCTCCCAGTTCAGTGGCTAAAAACCACAAAAGGCTTTGTTCTATGCCGTAGCTCTAATTTTTTTCTCATTATGATCGGCATATATGTTCTTGAGCCTCTCTATGCACTAATTATTAAAAAAACCAAACAAGTAAATAATGATATTATACTGTGATATTGTTTTAACACGATGCCCACCTTTTTGAAGTTTCTAATGTAGGTAACATGTTCATACTCAACCCTTTCAGTAAGCAAACAGCAAGCAAACACGTTTTTATATGAATTTAGAGCAAAGGAATTGAGAGTTGAATGAACAGAACTGCAAGTGAATCATCTGCTTTTGACTATTCCTTTAAAAGTGAATTGGAAGCAGACACATAAAATGGGTCTGTGACCTGCTTCAGGTAGTTATCTCCATTTTAGAATAGTCTGTGAGGAAGAGAATGAACACTGAGAGTAAATGTTTTAAATGAAAACAAAGCAAACAGCCCACTTTTTCGTTATTGGAAAAGCAATACTTGTTCATTGTAGAAAAATATTAAATAAAGATAAGTAAAAAAGAAGTTAATCATCCGTAATTCCGTCATCTAGCTGTGCTGTCTCATACGGTACTCAGTAGCCACATGTTAACTGTTGAAATTTAAATTAATTAAAATTGGATAAAATTAAGAGTTCAGTTCCTCAGTTGCACTACCACGTTTTAAAAGCCCAATAGCCACATGGTGCCAGTGACTACAGGTTTGGACAGGGCAGATTATACAGAACATTTCCGTTGTCATAGGAAATTCTAGTGGACGTCGCCAAGAGAGAAACTGTTACTTCCTTACTACAGACGCTTCTAGACCATCTCCTGGGTGTATTATACATACGCACAATGGGATCATAATGCTTTGTTATCTGCTTCTTTCGCTTAATAGATAGGGAGCAAATTTCTAGGTCCTGAAGTATTCTACATTATTTTTGGAAGGATTTTAAAAATATTTTATTATGAAAAATTTCAAACTTATACAAAAATAGACTAACTTCAGTAACCATTAGTTTATGGCTAATATTGTTTATCTGTACTCCCACCCATTTTGCCCCTTCCCTGTTTTTTTTTTTTTAAGCAAATTCCAGACATTCTACCAACAGGCATTTCAGTATGTATTGCTAGAAGATAAGGACTCTAAAAAACAAACAAAAAACAGTAAAACTAGTGTTCAGGTTTTCCTGATTGTGTCAAATGTTATTTTTTAAACAGATTGTTCAAGTTAGAATTCACATCAGTCCTGTACGTTGCGATTGGCTAATATGTGTCTTGAATCTTAATCTGTACTGTCTCCTTCCATTTTAAAAAAATTTCCACTTGGATTTGTTGAATACATCACTTTTAATGACTACATTATTATTTTTATCCACTTTATTGGTGAACACTTCATTACAGTTTTTCATTTTTTGCTATTATACACCTAGCTCTGACTTATTTTTATAGCTAACTATTTGAATACATTTTTAATTATTTCCTTAGGATGAATTCCTAGAAGCGAAAATGCTGGTTCAAAGGTTAGGTATATTTTTGAGTCAGTTATTATGCTAAGTACTGGGGATATTGTGGTAATAAGGTAGACACACTTTTTGTTGTCATGGATCCTTGCATTCTTGCAAAGGAGAAAGATGGAGATAAGGTGGTATATAGGTGGCACTCATTGAGCAGGGTGCCTTCCCCAGACACTGGGTAGAGAGGTGTTCAGAGACCACTCGTGGAGGAAGTAACATCTAAGCCAAGGTCTGAAGGGTAAGGGGAGGTTAGCTGGGCGAAGGGCTGGAGCAGTGGTTTTCAACCTTTGGTCTGTAAAAGAATCTCCTGGACGTCTGATGAATGCAGAAGTCCAGGCTCGTGAAAGGTATATAAGGCCTGGACCTTTGTGTGTTCACCAGTTTCCTAAGTGTTTCAGATGCTAACCAAAATTGGAGAGCCACTGTTTCAAGGGGGAAACATTCTAGATCTGGACAGGAAAGAGAAGTGAACGTTTTGTTAGAGGCCAGAGACAGTTTATCATCACCAAAGTGTCCTCCAGAAAAGTTGTACCAGTGTACACATACTCATCTGCTGTATAGGAGGAGAGTGCGTGTTTCTGTGTATCTTTGACAGTGTTAGGTAACAGTCGATACAAAAACTCTGTTTATCTAGCTTTGCAGATGTCAAAATTGCACAAGAGGAAAAATCAATACCTAATCTGTGGTCAGAAGTAAGAGAACTTTGTTCAAGTTACACTTAGAAATGGAGAGTTACTGTGTTTACTACAGTTCTTTGTCTGGAGCCATGTTATAATACACCAAGATACGTCCATTTTAAGCTGAGAAAACAGCACATATCACTATCTGATGCACTACATACTTTCTGTCTGTTTTCTCTTTCTGGAATGTAAGCTCTATAAGGGCAGGGATGTTTATTTTTTCATTGCTGTATACCCTGGTGCTACTATGTTTGGCATGTAGTAGGTACTCAAATATCTATTGAATAAATGACTGACCGGCTGCCTTGAACCCACCGCTTTAGTTGGCAATTAGCAGCATGCTTCAGGAAGCTGGTGGTGACCTGCAACATTAATTTTTCTTTATGGGCAGAGAACTGGAAATGAAGACGCTTTATCTTGGAGATAAGACCAGTTTCTTCAGTATTTTCCTGTGCGTCTGCTGACTTCCTATGTACATTTAAAATTTTACTTTGTTATTCATATCCATGAACTCCAGGAATAGTGATCTTATAAAGGTCTGAAAGATGAAGTATTGAATAAATTAATTCTAGAATAAGTGGCAGAGGAGAAAAGCCACCTTCTTGATAGTGGAGGAGGAGGTGTAAAAGGCACAATTCCAGAATTATTTCTTCCTTATTAATGAACAATATTTAGAATGTAGTCACACAGCTGTAGCACACTGCTGTGGAGAGTCTGTGGAGCATGTAATAAAATCTTAAAGAGAAATTTGGAGTTTAGTATTTGTGAATACCTCAGAAAAGGTATGGATTGCTAAATTATATTTTTGTATATGTCAGATATTTAGACTTTTTTTTTGAGAGTTTGCTGTATCTAACATAGTTACTTAAGTAGACATCTATTTACTAAGTACTAGGCCCTCTTTTGTTTTGTATCCACTGTCTCTTATAACGCTATGAGGCATAACCCAAACCAAACCATTGCTGTTGAGTTGATTCCAACTCATAGCGACCCTATAGGACGGAGTAGAGCTGCCCCATAGGGTTTTCAAGTCTGTAATCTTTACAGAAACAAACTGCCACATCTTTCTCCCATGGAGCAGCTGGTGGGTTCAAACCACTGACCTTTTGGTTCGCAGCTGAGCGCTTGACTACTGTGCCACCAGGGCTCCTCTATGAGGCATGGACACTAGCATTATCCCCATTTTACATATGGGCGTGGGGGGAAATTGTGGCTCAGAGAAGTTAACTAACTTGCCTGAAGTCTAACAGCTTACAGAGCTGGAGTTCCAACCTGGGCAGTCCACTTCAGAGCTTGCTCTTAACCTCAGTGTAATTGCTGAAGCTTGTGGTAAAATAAGTTACTGCTTTTAAAGCTAATCCTGGCTAAAAGCTTGGGCTTTGGAAGTAGTATTACTTGGGTTGGGATCCTGGCTCCATTACTTGCTAGCCAACTAGAATTGGACAGTTTAATTTTCTAAATTTCAATTCCTTGATTGTTAAATGGGAGTAATACTTATACCTCATAGAGCAGCAAGGATTAAATGAACTAAGGTAAGAGCTTGTTACTCGAATGAGCTAATTCTGCTCTTGGGGTTTTTTGCAAGGTGAGCAGTAGGTATTGAAGTTGTTGCCAAACCTGTGTCAGAGGTCCAGTGCTTCTCAGAAACATGTGGCTCCACATGAAAAGAACAAGAGTTAAAAAATGAGGTGAATTGTGATTCTGGTAAACGTGTGCTCCACCCACACTTTGAGAAATAATTATGTGGCACCATCAGCTGGTGACAGATCAAATGTGTGTGCATTTGTCCATGCATTTTCACCTTCACCTCTTTTAATCATGTAGACCATTTGAACATGTTTGCATTAGTACTTTTGGCATGTCATCAGTCCTTACAAGATTGAAGTTAATGAGTTTTATCTAGCAGTGTCCAACTGTCTAGGTTCAAAACTGCCATTGATTAGCTGTGTGATCTTGGGCAAGTTATCTCAGTGTACCTCCGGTAAGAACTTGGAAAACTACCTGGTACACATTAGAGCTCTTTATAAAGTATTTGTGCCCAGTCCAAAGAAAGGAGATCCAACAGAATGCTGAAATTATCAAACAATATCATTAATATCACACGCAAGTAAAATTTTGCTGAAGATAATTCAAAAACAGTTGCAGCAGTACATCAACAGGGAACAGCAGTACATCAAGAGGAAACTACCAGAAACTCAAGTTGGATTCAGACGAGAATGTGGCTATCATTGCTCATGTCAGACGGACCTTGGCTGAAAGCAGAGAATACCAGAAAGATGTTTACCTGTGTTTTATTGACTATGCAAAGGCATTCGACTGTGTGGATCATAACAAACTATGGATAACATTTGCGAAGAATGGGAATTCCAGAGCACTTAACTGTGCTCATGAGGAACGTGCATAGACTTAAGAAGCAGTCGCTCAAATAGAACAAGGGGATACTGTGTGGTTTAAAATCAGGAAAGTTGTGTGTCTGGGTTGTATCCTTTCACCATACTTATTCTGTCTCTATGCTGAGCAAATAGTCCAAGAAGCTGGACTGTATGAAGGAGAACATGGCATCAGGATTGGAGGAAGGCTCATTAACACCCTGCGATATGCAGATGACACAACCTTGCTTGCCGAAAATGAAGATGACTTGAAGC